CCGGCACTTTGAAGGACTCTGAGGGGCCGTGAGGGACCATGAAGGCCCGTGAGGGACAGAGACTGGGACCTTGAGGGACTCTGAGGGCCTGTGAGGCACCATGAAAACCCGTGAGGGACCAAGACGGGCGCGCTGAAGGACCGTGAGGGCCTGTGATGCACCATGAAGGCCCGTGAGGGCCTGTGATGCACCATGAAGGCCCGTGAGGGTCCGAGACCGGCACGTTGAAGGACCCTGAAGCCGAGACCGGCACTTTGAAGGACCCTGAAGGTCCGTGAGGGCCCGAGACCAGCACGTTGAAGGACCCTGAAGCCGAGACCGGCACGTTGAAGGACCCTGAAGGTCCGTGAGGGTCCGAGACCGGCACGTTGAAGGACCCTGAAGGCCCGTGAGGGTCCGAGACCGGCACGTTGAAGGACCCTGAAGACCCGTGAGGGTCCGAGACCGGCACGTTGAAGGACCCCGAGGCCCCGTGAGGGAGCGTTACCCCCGCGCGCCGCCAGGGGGCGCTGTCCCCGGCCGGAAGTTCCGGTGGCGGCGGGGCCGGTGGGTGATGGCGGCGATGGCGGCGGGGCCGTGAGGGGAGGGCGAGAGCGGCGGCCCGGGGGGCTCCGTGCGGGCCCTGCCCGGGGCAGGGCAGTGCCGGCAGTGCCGGGAGGGCTGAGGGGAAGGAGGCGGCCCCTCGGTGACGGCGCCTTCTTAGGCCGCGAGGCTGCTCCTCCCGGCCTTTGGGAGGAGGAGGGCTGTGCCAGGGAGCTCGGCTGGAGTTACCGTGTTTTTAAAGTTAAAATAGCCCAAGCTTTAATTAATAAATCGCCCCCGTGGCGCAGCTGCTCCGGTGCTTGACCCTCACAGCAGAGCCCGACAGACTGAGGGTAAAACCAGGAGGATTTTCAGGGTCTCAGCCCGTCTTTTGGGGATATGGGGTTGAATAGGGAAGGTTTTTGAAAGTTGCATGTTTCCATTACTGAATAAATGTTCTTGTTTGAACAGTCATTGCTGGCTCTGCCAGTGAACAAAGTGAAACAAAATGTTAATATCACGGCTGAGTTCTCAGTTACTGAAGGCTTCAAGAATTGCAGGTAAATTGGTGTTGTGTGACCAAGTTTTCTGTTTGTTTGGGTTTATTTTCCTGGGGTAATTGGGCTCCCAGAAGTTTCTTTTCCACCAAGCAGTGCAAGAGAGAGGAGATTGTTGTTGAGTCAGTGGTTGCCAAATGTTTTTATGTCTCTGATTTATTATTATTTCCCATCAGAAAACACAAAAACATTCCACTTAATGGAATCATGAAAAGGTTTGGGTTGGAAGGGACCTTAAAGGCCACGGAATTCCAAACCCCTGCCGTGGACTGGGATG